TTACAAATCGGCGATTTCGCCCACTTTGAGCCCTATTTTCAGCTAATTCCATTGTTCCAGTCGCCAAAACTCATAGCTATTTCTTTAGAACTCCATTTTTTCTATCGATTGAGTACATGAAACTGCCCATTTACCGATTTCAACTACCTAATAATATGGTCAGAAATTTGCAATTTGGCCAATTTCACGAAAACTAAAAAATATGACAATTTCAAAATAAGGTCCAAAATGAACAATGCAGACATTCCTGGCTCTAAAATAACATTTTCTTTGTTCATCAGTCATGTCTCCAGACCCCTCTGATATTACTCTTGCTTTCTATTTTGAATTTTTATTCAAACAAAAAATAGAAGACTTACTATTATGCAGACTACTGCAGTACTGTAATAATTGTATAAGTAACATCAACCCATTCATGTCTGCATATTAGAATGGCTAGTTGGACATTTATTGGACAATGGCATCATTTGTTTACTTTTGAACATTGGCAAAAATCAAACATTTCCCATACTTTGAGCTCCATTTCTAGGTTCTTTTTATAGGAAAATCAATCAATATCACCTCTATGTCTATAATATGTTTTCCATTCTATCAAATGAGACCAAGAAAATGAGAATACAACCATAAATACTATACGAAAATAGACCACAAAGTCGGCATTTTAATTAAAAAAAACGGTCGGAGTTTTTTTTTTCTCATTATGCACTGCGTGTTCCAGGATTTTTTTTATATGGTGCACACTGACCACACAGACTCATTTTCTCATGTGTGGGCCTACCAGCTTTGTCCTGCTTGATTTGAAGCCACTAGAATTTATGAGTATATATACGTCAAACACTGTACCTCGTAAGACGTATATATACGGCCGCAACAGTCAAAGGGTTAATGGACAATGTACTGTGTATGTGCTTTACACCACGAGAAGCATTTCTTTTATTCGTTGGAATCATGGCTTGGGCTAAAAGTAAGCAGGTTATAACAATAAATGGAGAAAAGGAAATTGGAATGACTTATGCAGCAAGTAGTACCACCAAAGCCATGAAAGCTATAAAGGAAATTGAAAAAGCCCAAAATACTTCTTCTCTTGTGCCAAATATAAGGGGGAAACAATATCCAGTATTTGGCTCCTGCTTAGGCAGGATGGGACATACACAGATGACAGCCAAGATATGAGTGAGATACTAAAGTCCCAATATGACTCAGTGTTCAGCGACCCACTGCCCAGACTAAGGGTCAACAATCCAAATGAATTCTTTTTGAACGAAACCCAAAATTTGGTCATCTCAAAAATCTCGGATATTATTCTAACTCCACAAGCCTTTGAAGAGGCAATAAATGACATGCCCATGCACTCTGCCCCAGGCCCAGACTCATGGAACTCCATGTTCATCAAGAATTGCAAGAAGCCCCTATCGCGTACCTTCAGCATTTTATGGTGAGGGAGCATAGACACGGGTCATCCCGCACACACTAACAACAACAGACTTAGCCCCACTCCACAAAGGTGGCAGTAAAGCAATTGCAAAGAATTACAGACCAATAGCACTAACATCCCATATAGCAATCTTTGAGAGGGCTCTAAGAAGCAAGATTGCCAACCACCTAGATACCCATCAATTACACAACCCACGGCAGCACGGGTTTAGAGCAGGTCGCTCCTGCCTGTCCCAGCTACTGGACCACTATGACAAGGTCCTGGATGCTCTAGAGGATAAAATACAAATGAAATATACACAGACTTTGCAAAAGCTTTCGACAAGTGTGACCATGGTGTAATAGCACAAAATGATGATAAAGGAATAACGGAAAAAGTTGGTAGATGGATCTACAACTTCCTGACAAATAGAACACAAAGAGTAATAGTAAACAGAGTAAAGTCCCAGGCAGCCACAGTAAAAAGCTCTGTTCCACAAGGGACAGTACTCTCTCCCATTCTATTCCTCATCCTTATTTCTGACATAGAGATGTAAGCCATAGTTCCATGTCTTCCTTTGTGGATGACACCCGGATCACCATTGCAGTGACCTCCATCGAAGACACCATGAGACTCCAAGCGGACATCAACCAAATCTTCGAATGGGCCACTCAAAACAATGTGAAGTTCAATGAGGAGAAATTTGAACTACAGTGGACCCTCGACTAACGCTATTAATCCGTTCGTGAGAGCTCATCGTTAGTCAAAATTATCGTTAGTCAAGTTAATTTTCCCATAAGAAATAATGGAAATCAAATTAATCTGTGTAGGACACCCCAAAGTATGAAAAAAAATTGTTTTTACCACATGAAATATTAATTTTAATACACACAAACTGAAGAAGACATGCACAGTTACATGACACTTACCTTTATTGAAGATCAGGTGATGATTGATGGGATGGGAGGAGGGGAGAGTGATGATGGTCTTAGTGTTTAGAAGGGGAATCCCCTTCCATTAGGACTTGAGGTGGCAAGTCCTTTTCCAGGGTTACTTCCCTCCCCTTTAAATCTCTCAAACCAACCTTTGCTGGCCTTAAATTCACTCACATCACCACTAGTTGCTGGCATTTTTTTAATTAAATCGTCATGCAACTTCCTAGCCTTTTCACATATGATCGCTTGAGAGATGCTATCTCCTGCTATCTTTTTTTCGTTTATCCACACCAATAACAGTCTCTCAACATCTTCGAGTACTTGCGATCTCAGTTTCGAAAACATAGTTGCACCTTTGGCAAGAACAGCTTCCTTGATTGCCGTTTTCTTGCCCTCAATAGTAGCAATGGTTGATTGGGGTTTTGTGTACAACCTGGCCAGCTCGGAGACACGCACTCCACTTTCATACTTAGCAATGATCTCTTTCTTCATATCCACAGTAATTCTCACCCTTTTTGCTGTAGGGTTGGCACTAGAAGCTTTCTTGGGGCCCATGGTGACTTATTTTGCAGGTGCAATCACTAAAAAGGCTGTGATAATATGAAATGTTCCGATTGTATGCTTGGAAGCGACCGCGGTGGCTGGCTGGCTTGTAAACACTGCCAAAAGTGGACGCGGCTCAGACAGAACGAATAGTGTTGGCCGAGTTTTTTAGTGCTAGTCGAGGCAAAAATTTTGCGTTAAAATGTATCACTAGTCGGATTTATCGTTAATCGATGCCATCGTTGGCCGAGGGTCCACTGTACTCAAATATGGGAAGCTTGAAGAAATTAAAAATGTATCAGGGTATACGACAAATTCTAACCATACAATAGAGCGGAAAAGTAATTTGAAGGACCTGGGAGTGATAATATTAGTCAGAGAGAATCTCATCTTTAATGACCACAACAATGTATCTACTTCATGCACTAGGAAAATGATAGGATGGATAATGAGAACCTTCAAAACTAGGGACGCCAGTCTTATGATGATTCTCTTCAAATCGCTTGTGCTTCTCTAGGCTGGAATACTGCTGTACACTAACGGCCCTCTTCAAGGTTGGCGACATTAACGACTTGGAGAGTGTACAAAGGACTTTCACGGTACACGTAAGTGCGATAAGGCACCTAAACTATTGGGAATGGTGGAGGGTCCTTGATCTGTATGCCCTCCAACGTAGGCGAGAGAGATACATGATAATATACACTTGGAAGATCCTGGAGGGATTAGTACCAAACCTGCATGTGAAAATCACTCCCTATGAAAGCAAAAGACTTGGCAGGAGATGCAACATTCCTCCATTGAAAAGCAGGGGTGCCACGAGTACACTGAGAGACAACACAGTAAGTGTCCATGACCCAAGACTGTTCGACTGCTTGCCAGCATACATAAGGGGGATTACCAATAGACCTCTGGCTGTCTTCAAGAAGGCACTGGACAGGCACCTCAAATCAGTACCTAACCTGCCTGGCTGTGGTTCATACGTCAGTTTGCGTGTGGCCAGCAGTAACAGCCTGGTTGTTCAGACCCTGATTCACCATGAGGCCTAGTCTCAGACCGAGCTACAGGGGCATTGACCCCCAAAACCCTCTCCAGGTATACACAAAGAAGTGATCAGAAATTACTAATTTGCCCAATTTCACACAAAATTCAAGAAAGGCCATTTTCAAAATAAGGGCCAGAATAAACATTGCACACATTCCTGGCACTAAAATAACATTTTCTCTGTTCATTAGTCACATCTCCAGGCACCTCTTATTACGCTTGTATTTCATTTTGAAATTTTATTAACACAAAAAATAGATGATTTGCTGTTATTCATACTACTTCATACTTTGTAATAATTGTATAAATAATATCAGTGCATTTGTGAATGCACATTAGACCCACCAGTTGACGTGTATTGGATGCGTGACGTGATTTGTTTACTCATGAACCTCGTCAAAAATCGAACATTTCCGCTACTTTGAGCTCAATTTCAAGCTACTTTTATTCGGTAAACTGTTCAAAATCACCTCTATTTCTGTAATATATCTTCCATTCTATCAAATAAAACCATGAAAATGAGAATACAACCACAGATACACTGCCATACACTGAAAATGCACCCCAAAGATGCTTTTTTAAACCCACAACACGGTCTCATTTTGTTATCCTCAATATGCACTGATTGTTGTAGGGTTTTTTTTTTTTTTTTTTTACTGTGGACACTGACCATGCAGACCCATTCTCTCATATGAAGGATTACTAGTTTTCTCCTGGAAGATTTGAGGCTGCTAGAATTTTGGCGTAGTATTATGGGACCGACACCGGCTTCAAAGATTTTATATTACTGAACTGACACCTAAAGGGTTAATATGCATTTGAAAGTGAAAAAGTCAATGCTTCACTTGACCTCCTGTACTTTAAAAATACAGAACAAAATTTGCTGGGTTGATTGATGTAGGATCAGCAGACAAAATATGTTGGTTACAGTTACAGCAAAATAATCTCATTTCTGTATACCACAATTGCCGTTACTAGGCACCTTCTGCCTCCTCTTAGTTAAATCAAGGATGTGTTGTATTTTCTTTTGTGAAGGTCGTCATATATATTTGTGGTATTATTTACAGAGCTTGGAAGAAGAGGAAAAAATGACGCCAGAGCAACTGGCTATCAAGAATGTTGGCAAGTTGGATCCCAAACGACATTTGGAGGACAAAGTAGAAGTCCTTATGACGTCCAATATTGTGCAGTGCCTTGGAGCTATGCTGGACACTGTCATCTTCAAATGAGCAATATTAACTGCCAAGAAACAGTAAGACTAAAATATCAGACTTGAATAAATGCACAAGGTATTCTTCAGTTGTGAAACTTATAATGTTTTATTAATCTGTTTTTTGCTTAACTATATATGGTTTCAGTTTTTATCTGTCAAGTATCATGAAAATAGTGAGCTTTTTTAATTGGTTATTGAAAGATCAAAGATGAAATTGAAAGATGGTACAAATTATTTTCATATATTTTGGATCTGCACTTGTACTTTTTCAAAATTAATAAAACATGTAAAAAGCTGAAGATTTATACTAGTGAAATATTATTACAAATAAAGTATAAGTGAAATTAATTGTTTAATTACACATTGTATATACTGTCATAAATCATTTTATATTTATGGAGAAATATTAAATGTGTAGGGCCATACAGTACCTGAGGAATGAGAGGTAATCAGTATTGATCCAAGGAAGGGAAGAGTAGCTTGAATTCCTTGAATTAAAAGACCTTCAGTATCTGGACACCTTGAAGGCCATGAATTCTATTTTACACAAAATTAAATAAATTTAAAACAATTTTAATATTACAGTTATGCTATCAGTTCACCATCTCTTAACCCTTTCAGGGTCCAGAGGCCAAATTTCAAAGTGTGCACCAGGGTCCAAGGATTAAAAAAAAAAAAATTGTTATTTTTTCATATGAAATGGTAAAGAATCTTTTTCTGAAGGTAATAAAACAAAAAGTATGAAATTTGATGGGAAATTGACGAAATTATGCTCTCGCGAATTTTGATGTGTCGGTGATATTTACGCATCAGCGATTTTGCCTACTTTGACTCCCATTTTAGGCAAATTACATTATTCCAGTCCACCAAATTCCTAGCTAAATATTTCACTAGTATTCCTTCTATCGATTGAGCACAAGAAATCACCATAACTGTTTCAACTACAAAATAAAGTGATCAGAAAATGATAATTTGGTCAATTTAACGCAAAGTTCAGAATATTCCAATTTCAAAATAGGGTCCAGAATAAACAATGCAGGCATTCCTGGCACTAAACTAACATTTCCTCTGTCCGTTAGTTACGTTTTGAGGCTTTACAAATGAATTCCATTTTGATTTTTTATTCACATAATGAATTTTTATTCAAATCAAAAAATAGAAGATTTACTGTTATGCAATATTGTAATAATTGTGTAAATAATATCACCACATTTGCAAACATATACATATTAGACCCACCAGCTGGTGTGTATTAGATGTGTGAGGTCATTTGTTTACTCTTGAACACTGGCAAAAATTTCAGTTCCTCTACTTTAAGCTCAGTTTCAAGCCATTTCCAGTATTAAGACCAATGAAAGTCATGTTTATTTCTGTAATATATCTTTCATTCTATCAAATGAGACCAAGAAATCGCAAATACAACTATAAAAAACATATGAAAAAACACTGCTAAAAAGTCGCTGTTTTAATCGAAAATTATGGTCTCGGTTTTTTTCTCTCATGCACTGTGTGCTGCAGGGTTTACTATATGTGGTGCACACATACCACATTGATATATTCTCTCATATCTAGGCCCAAATTTACCACTCACAGCTTATCAGAGTGAGCTGAGCTCATGGTGTAGATCTATGGTTTGTACCCTCAACTCAAAGTTGTAGATCTACAGCACGGACCCTGAAAGGGTCAATAGACTGTCCTGTCTATCAGCGGGCATGCAGAATTTACCTCTGACATTGTCACTGCCCTAACAAACACACTTGCTTTATCTGACCACCTCACTGACAGCCTTTCCTTTGTCACAGATTTCTTTTTTAACTTATTGTCAGTGTTGTATTACACCGATTTTGATTATATTTTCCCTTTAGTGAGAACCTGTTCTTTCAAGAAATTCATAAATGCTCACACACACAGCCCTAAATGCAATAATAACGATAGTATGGTCATCAGGATAAAATTTAGTAAAGACATAAGCTTACAATTCAGACATGGTAGTAATTAAGTCATATGGGTAGAGTGACTGTACATAATTCCTGCACACCCACTGAAGCAGTAATCCCCTTCAGGTTCTGTGATGCTGGTGAGGGGCTCTTGATCTAGGGAATTGGATCTGTGCTCCAGTTCCCTGAATTGAGCCTGAATATCTTCCGTTCCCACCCCTTCCTTCCACATGCACTGTATGATCATGTGGGTTTTAGTGCTCCTCCATAATTATAATAAATAATGAGGCAGTAACTTGAAAGATATTCATACTCAAAGCTGGTAGCATTAGTTTCCTTTGAAAGGATGCAGGTCTTGTTCATCTTTTGCAAATTGGTAACAAACTAAAGATCAGTTTGGTCAAAGCATTTGTAGCATAATCTGGAAGTCATTCAGAATTAAAGAGAAATTAAAACTACTATTTTTATTGGTTTATGTATAAAATTTTCATTTCATAGGAGAGTGCTAAACCTGTAGGGGGTCATACAGTGCCTTGGGGAATGGGAAGCAATCATTTAATCAAGGAAAGGGAGGGTAGCTCCAGTTCTTTGGACTAGAAGCTCTTTGCTGGCAAGGCCAGTATGCCAGAAGGTTATAAGGTCATAAATATCCTCTTTTCAACCCATAAGGGTTTGTATGTTTTAACCTTCAAATTAGAAATGTATTTGACTCTCTGATAACTACAAAGATGCTATGCTCTCATCTGAACGAAGTCATGGAGGAGAGTTGAAGTAAGACTCTCCAAACACATGCTCAAGATTGATGATCCATGGGTTGTAGCATTCAGTCTCATTACTCTAGCCAACAAAATTTAACTTTTTGCAAGACTGGAACAAGATTCATTGTGGGCAGATGAATTATATACAACAAGATAGTGTACACTCTGTAGTTAACTTTCATTGTCCAGTGCTTCTAATACCAGGGATATTAGAAGACAGATTCTATAATTCTGAAATGCTTATAACTTTGTACTTTCTACAAGTTTGTTCTTGTGTGGGTAACTGAGATAATCACCTGTTACAAAGGTATGTTGTAAGTAACTTGGTCATATATTTTGTTTTATTAATCAACAATCAATGACCTATTCTATGTAAATATATACTGTTCATTTTCACTAGATGTAAATTTCCTCGTGACAGTACTATCATGAGGAGTACCACTTTTTAGTTGTAGTCACACTGAGAGTAAATGGTAGATGGGATACAAGGAAAATGGAAGCAGCAAGCAAGAGAGAGGCAAAGGTTTTATAAACTAAAGGAGGCAGTTAGGGAAAGATATAAACAACTACTGGAGGATAGATAGGCTAGCAAGAGTATAGGCAATGGGGTTCAAGATGTATGGGGTAGGCTTAAAGATGTAGTGTTAGAGAGTTCAGCAGAAGTTTGTTGTTAAAGGAAAGTGAGTGCAGGAGGGAAGAAGAGTGACTGGTGGAATTATGATGTAAAGAGAGTAGTAAGAGAGAAAAAAGTTAGCATATGAGAGGTTTTTACAAAGTATAAGTGATGCAAGGAGGGAGGAGTATATGGAGAGAAAAAGAGAGGTTAAGAGAGTGGTGAAGCAATGTAGAAAGAGAGTAAATGAGAGAGTGAGTGAGATGTTATCAACAAATTTTGTTGAAAATAAGAAAGTTTTAGTGAGATTAATAAATTGAGGAAGCCTAACGAATGAATGGATTTGATAGTTAAAAATAGGAGAGCTAGAGGTATTGGGAAGATGGAGGGAATACTTTGAGGAATTGTTTAATGTTGCTGAAGAATTGTTAACTGTTGATGTGATTTTGTGTACAGGGGCAAGGAGGAATAACATCTTGTAGGAGTGAGGAAGAGCAAGTTGTGAGTATGGGGGAAGTGCATGGGGCAGTGGGTAGAATGAAAGGGGGTAAGGCAGCTGGGATTAATAGGATAAAGATAGAAATGTTAAAAGCAGGAGGAGATATAGTTTTGGAGTAGTTGGTGCTTTTATTCAATAAATGTATGGAAGAGGTAAGGTACCTAGGAATTGGCAGAAAGCATGCATAGTTCCTTTGTATAAAGGCAAAGGGGACAGAAGAGAGTGCAAAAATTATAGGGGAATAAGTCTGTTGAGTACACCTGGTAATGTGTATGGTAGAGTAAGATGGAGAGTAGGATAGCAGATGAACAAGGAGGCTTTAGGAAGAGTAGGGGGTGTGTAGACCAAGTGTTTACAGTGAAACATATAAGTGACCTGTATTTAGATAAGGGTTAAAGGGTTTTTGTTGCATTTATGGATTTGGAAAAGGCATATGACAGGGTGGATAGGGAGGCAATGTGGCAGATGTTGCAAATGTATGGAATAGGTAGATTATTGAAAGTAGTAAAGAGTTTTTATGAAGATAGTGAGGCTTAGATTAGAGTATGTAGGAGAGAGGGACATTATTTCCCAGTAAAAGTAGGCCTTTAGACAAGGATGTGTGATGTCACCTTGGTTGTTCAATATATTTATAGATAGGGTTGTAAGAGAAGTGAAGGCAAGAGGTGTGGGGTTACAAGATAAAGAATCTAACACAGAATGGGAGTTGCCACAATTTCTCTTTGTTAATGACACTGTGCTTTTGGGAGATTCTGAAGAGAAGTTGCAGAGGTTGGTGGATGACTTTGGTAGGGTATGTAAAAGAAGAAAATTAAAGATGAATACGTATAGGAAAAAATAAGGTAATGAGGATAAAAAAAAATTAGGTAATGAAAGATTGGATATCAGATTGGAGGGAGAGAGTATGGAGGAGGTGAATGTATTCAGCTATTTAGGAGTGGACATATCAGCAGACAGGTCTATGAAAGATGAGGTGAATCATAGAAATGATGAGGGTAAAAAGGTGAGTGGTGCACTGAGGAGTCTGTGGAGACAAAGAACTTTATCCATGAAAGCAGAGGGGAATGTATGAGAGTATAGTTATACCAACACTCTTATATGGGTGTGAAGCATGGGTGGTGAATATTGCAACTAGGAGAAGGCAGTGGAGATGTCGTGTCTGAGGGCAATGTGTGGTGTGAATATAATGCAGAGAATTCGTAGTTTAAAAATTAGGAGGAGGTGCAGGATTGCCAAAACTATTGTCCATAGGGCTGAGGAAAGGGTTGTTGAAGTGGTTTGGATATGTAGAGAGGATGGAACAAAATAGAATGACTTTGAGAGAGTATAAATTTGCAGTGGAGGGAAGGCGGGGTAGAGGCCGGCCTAGGAAAGGTTGGAAGGAGGGGGTAAAGAAGGTTTTGTGTGCAAGGGGCTTGGATTCCCAGCAAGCATATGTGAGTGTGTTAGATAGAAACCGATGGAGACAAATGGGTTTTAGGACTTGACGTGCTGTTGGAGTGCGAGCAGGGTAATATTTATGAAGGGATTCAGAAAA